TCTTGGAGTTCTTTTTAAATGTGAAGGACATCCTTCGTGCTCCTGCTGATGTGACAGGCCAGTGTGAAAAATGGGATACCCAGGAAATAGCGCTGAATAAAAGGTGAGTGACAGGCCAGTTGTCTTTTCCCCTTTCCTTTCTTCATGAATAACCATTTGTATATTCATGTAATGAATCCCATTTTTCAAACTGGCATTTTCTTTTGGTGCAAAGAGAGTCCAGAGGATGTGTTTGTGCAACATATTTTTCTTTTAGCTCTCAATTACTTGTTCATTCCCTAAGCATTTGGCGCAGATCCTAACTGCTTTCTTACCACTATTATTTCCTGCTACTGCTTGGCATGGAGTCACTTACTTTGCTTACCTTATGGTGTAAACTTCCTGCTATATTATGCACAGGGGTCATTTCGTAGAAAAAGAGGTGCAGGAGCTCATTAGCATAACTTATTTGCATATGCCACACCCCCTGACATCACCAGAAGTGTGTTAGAAGGCAACACCCACTGCTCAGGCTCCACTGGACTGTTTTGGATTGCTAGCTATTGGGGGGGGGGGAACGTGCAGATCTGTCCTCATAGAGGAGGGAGAGCTTGTACCTGAATAAAACTTGGTCTTAAAGGTACCACTGGATTGTTTTGGACCGGGGGGAGCTCTGCAACTTACCTGGCTGCTTCTTGCTCTGACTGAGGGCTGCTGGGAGCAGGGGGTGGGGCTTGTTGCATGTGCCCGCCCCCTGGGCTCTTTACTGCCGGAGCTCCGCTCCTGTGCGCTCCTGCAGGAAATTACCCCTGGTTATGCAGCCATTTTCTTTATTACAAAACTCATGCCCTGCCTTTCTCCCCGACAGAAAACCCAAAGTAGTTACTTGTCAATGAAAACTTTTTAAAAAAATTAAATTCAAACAAAATCCATAAAATGGGGTGGGGGGGAGATGTCTCTAGCCCCCAAGGGAAGAGTAGTGGAAGGGCAGAGGTGGAAAACTTTGATTCTGTGAGCGGAGCAAACTAAACAAAGGAAACTCTAAAGGTCCTGATACCTATTATTTACAAACTTTTACTTTCTGTTGAAGACCCTCCATTACCTAAATATACAGAACAGTGGCACAAAGGCTGTGGGAAATCTCTATTTTACAGTGGCAGCAAATATGGCAAACTCCAGTCTTTACAACTAAAGCACTTAGCATAAGATATCAATCCTTTAAAACCATAGCTTGATGGTATTAGACACCTTTGAAACTAAATCATATCAATCCAGAATTCAAAGCCACATGTTTGAAGGGATGTAATAAACCAGCTTCATATTTTCACTGTTGGGGGACCTGTCCTCATATACAATCCTTATGGCTCTTAGTCAGACAGCAGATCTCTCAAATAGTTGGTTATCAATTACTATTTAGCCCAGAGTTACTGCTTTTAAATCACTGGCACAGAATCAATATCCCTACAGTCAGAAAGGAACTAGTAGCATTGCTATGCACAGCAACTAAGGCAGTTATAGCAGATCTACTAAGCAACTAAGGTAGTTATAGGAGATCAGGCCCCTGCGGGACCTTTTAAATTCCGCAGGGCCTGCAAGACGGAGCTCTTCCGCCAGGCATTTAAGTAGGGGCCGCCGCTGCTGCAGGCTCATGTTACTGCAGGTTTTTACTGCAGACTGTTACAACTCAGTATGGCCTGTGTTTTAACATCTGTATGGACTAACGACAGAAGACACTTGTGGACATCAGGGCAGTGGCAATCTATTTCTGCAACTCACCATCAAGATGAATTTTAATCTGCCGCCTGCACTTTGTATTTATATGTTTTATGGCATGTTGGATATTATGTATTTTAATGTAATTTATGTTTTTATTGGAAGCCGCCCTGAGCCCGTTTGCGGGGAGGGCGGGGTATAAGTTTGAGGAAATAAATAAATAAATAAATAAATAACATGGGAAGACTCGAAACCTCCTATACTCTCTTCTTGGCAGAGAAAGCTATGGGAATTTTTGATAATGGAAAAAAATCACAATGCAACTTATCAAATTCCGATTGTAGCGCTATGGTATCCTCTTATAGATTATACGTTGCAAAATGTAGCATCCTTTAATTTTTTTTAATCTCCTGTGGATATCTTTCAACTACAACAGATAGTTTAACTCTACTGCTGTATTAAATATATTTCTGCATAGGTGGTAGAGTGTTGTTACCATTGCTAACAATGGTGTAATGCAGAGTCACAACCAATGTAACTCACTATACTGTTCTGGTTTATTGTTATTTATTTGTATTTGTTTGTTGGTGTGTCAAAACTTAATGAGAACATAAGAGAAGCCAATGTTGGATCAGACCCATGGCCCATCCAGTCCAACATTCTGTCACACAGTGGCCAAAAATACCAGGTGCCATCAGGAGGTCCAGCAGTGGGACTAGGACACTGTTGCCCCCCCCCAAAGCACCAAGAATACAGTGCATCACCTGCCCCAGCCTGTGAGTTCGTATCTATACCTTGTGGCTAATAGCCACCGATGGACCTCTGCTCCATATGTTTATCCAGTTCCCTCTTGAAGCCGTCCATGCTTGTAGCCTCCACCACCTCCTGTGGCAGTGAATTCCATGTGTTAATCACTCTTTGGGTGAAGAAGTACTTCCTTTTATCTGTTCTAACCCGACTGCTCAGCAATTTCATGGAGTGCCCACGAGTTCTTGTATTGTGAGAAAGGGAGTCCAGTAACACCTTAATGACTAACAAAATTTGTTCAGGGCATGATATTTCATGAGTCACTGCTCACTCCTTCAGATACAGCTAGAATGTGAGTCCGTCTGTCCTTATATCTTGGAGAGTGAAGTCATTTCAGATCCCAAATAACAATAGCAGCCATTAGTAATGAGAGAAGAAACCTAGGTCTCAGTTCAGCCCAGGAGGATGCATGGAGCTTCATTATCAGTTGCAGTTGGAATTCAGCAGTCTCTCTTTCTAACCTCTCTTTGGAATTCCTTTGTAAGAGAACTGTTACTCTTAGGTCAGTAACGGAATGTCCTGGAAGGTTAAAATGTTCCTCCACTGGTTTTTGAATGTTGGGATTTCTTATAGCTGTAGAAACAGTAAGAGTCCAGTAGCACCTTGAAGACTAACAAAATCTGTGGCAGGGTATGAGCTTTCATGAATCACTACTCACTTCATCAGACTTATGTCCATTTATTCTTTGCATCCTCTTGGACTGAATCCTCCTGGACCAAACGGAGACCTAGGTTTCCTATCTCATTACCAATGATGATATCTCCATGCATACTACCCTTCTGCGTATCACACCCAATCCAGTCAAGCCTATTGCCATTAGGCATCTGAAATCATCTTTCTAAAGTTTATATCTCCAGTACCTCATGTTACATTTTATGGCACACATGGTCTGGCCCGACAAAGTGACATTTAGGTCAGATCCGGCCCTCCTAACAAATGAGTTCGACATCTCTGACCAAGATGACTTTTCATTAATTAAAAATGCAAGCAAGATTTGTGTGGTGACTTTTTTTTTGCAGTTTCAGAATATCTCCTGTATAATTGGTTTCTGAATACATGCTCAGCAATTGATGTAATAAACCATGATGATGATCAACAATACTTTGTTGCTGGGGGGGGGGGAGAGGAGAACATTTAAACATCTGCCCAATAGCAGATGTTAGGCCTGGTCTTACATATTAGATACCCTGTCATGTCCAATCAAGGAGACACGTTCAGTGTTTTCTGAAGTTTGAGAGTCCAGAATGGACTTTCCTTTATTGGTGTCTATCCTTTCATTTTGATAAAAGCAAGAACAACCCCCTCCCCTCCAAGTTGCTTATAGATTTCCCTTATTCACAGAACCCAGGGATCTTTGGCTGATGTGGGTTAGGGCTTCCACAAATGATATATGCTCTGTCTTTTTTCCTCCCTCTGGCTAGTTTTTTTGACAAGAAGGCAGCAGTCCATGAAGCATTGTGTGACAATATTGATACACGCACAGTCTTGGAAGAAATGCGGTCACTAGTCAGTCAGTGTAATTCCTACATCGCTGGAAAGAAGAGCACCAGGCAGATGCCAAACAGAATGCTGCTGGAAAACATAAGCATTTATTTGACACAGATGTTCAAGGTACAGGACAATGTGATTTTGGATTAAATTGGAAGATTTTTTTTTAAATTCTTTTACGTTATTTATATTCTACCTCCTTCAGTGCCTTTTCATTGTTTCAAGCTTGTGGCACTGTTTCAGTTGGAATGAAATTGCAATGCTTTGGGAAGCAGGAAGATGTTTCTAAGGTTTAGTTGTTTCCTGGAAATGGATAAGCGCAATACCGTGTGAAAAGTTAAAAATAGTTTTATCCAGTATTTCATGTCTTAAATAACACCAGCTCTTCCCAGTAACTCCCATTCTTTACTTCTAAGTAGCTCTAGTCCAGTGATAGCGAACCTTTTAGAGACCGAGTGCCCAAACTGCGACCCAAAACCCACTTGTTTATCGCAAAGTGCCAACACGGAAATTTAACCTGAATACTGAGGTTTTACTTTAGAAAAAACAACTCATACATTAACTTAAGATGATCCAAACAAAGTAAGGAAAGCAATCCCAAATGCTTTCATTTACTTAAAATTATTTGGCAGAGAATTCGACACTTTACTGATGGTCTGGGCCTGGCTGGGGCAATGGCATGCGTGCCCACAGAGAGGGCTCTGAGTGCCACCTCTGGCACCCATGCCATAGGTTCGCCACCACTGCTCTAGTCCAATGCAACACAGAAAGTAGCTCTCCAACCCATAAAATTCAGTAAAGGTTCTGTTTGGTCTAGATTTCCTTGAGATAATAAATACATCTGCACAGTTTCGCTAACCTCTGACTGAATAATGAAGCTGCAGCTTTCAGCCATCTCAATGGAAGAAGGTTCATAAGCAATGCACAGAATCATAGGACTAATTCAGACTTTACTAAGAATACATGGATGAAAGTCTCTCTTTTTTAAGTTACTTAGAATTCTAAGAAAAGGAGGCATCTACCACCAAATCTTTGAGAGACACTCATTACCAGAATGTTCGAGAGAAAAACTAGAGCAATTCAAATGTTCGGCATGGCTTATTTGTGTTATATTAACCAATTCTTTCAGTTTTTCGTTGTATTCAGTGTTGGCTGCTTTCCCAAAGCGAGAAAATGTGCAGGATGGGCCCATGTTTTTCATGTATTTTGGGGCCTGAATTACCATTTCGGTTAAAATATCTGCTTTTTAAAAAACAAACGTTATTAGAAAAAGGACTGTTCATCTTTTACCTCCCAAACTTTTTACGAAAAGGATCAATAAAAAGAACTGCCCAGATTTGAGCTATGATGTCAACTAGAATTGCAGAATGCGTGGATGAATAGAAACATTAAGAGGCAAACATTGGATAATTCTAGGGCTGCCAAGTGGTGGCGGGTGGCGGGTAAACCCCCGCTTTGGAGACCCAATTTCCGTGTGGCCCCAGTCGTCGGAGGGAAAACTCTATGGTTTTCCCTCCAACGATTGGGGCCACGCCCCCAACATGCTCTACGTCGTGCGTCACTTCCTGTGACGTTCTGGCGGCGCGCACGCTTCCCTCAGCAGCTCCCGGACCCTGGTGACGCTCCCCCGCCGGTGAGTCTAATCGACTTGGCAACCCTAGATACTTCAGATATTTAGAAATGTAAAGAAAGGGGAAAAAATTACTAATCTTCGTTAAGGAAGTTAATATTAATAGTCAGCCTTATAACAGGTCTAAAACCACATAGCTGAATGCGATGTGGAATTTTTTCTCTCCAGTAACTGAATAAAAACCCATCGTTCTACAACTTTTCAGCTTGTAGATTTAGTTTAAGCCTTTTGAATATAAAATACATTTGTTGGCACTGTGATTCTAGTGCAGAACTGATATTTGTGTTTGGTTTTGCCCTGTGATAAGAAAATGTAATTTTGTATATAGTCAAGACTAACTGGATATAATTTGAAAGACTGTGTCATCGATCTGATCTGTAGATGGTATTGAATTTTCTTCCTGCTGCAAAAGTATGCATTGCCGCATTCTTGAACACAACATTGCTACAACTTTTTCGGACTGATTTAGGAAAGATTTGTCAGCACCTATAATTCCCAAACTAAGATACCTGCTTTAAAAGAAGCTATTGTGTTTGTCTCTTTTGGATAGATCTTTGGTGCTATAGAAGGAGATGAAGCAAATATTGGCTTCCCCGTTGGAGGAAATGGCCAAACCTTAAATGTAAGTCGGTGGGAAAATGTATTGTGATAATTTCAGTTCTGTTTCTGGGTAATGAGTGCTACAAGAAATGTAAATATAAAGCCAGATTTTGGGTCTTCAATTCATCAGAATTGTGTCAGTTCTGTTTGGGTGTGTGAGAGCTGAATTTTTTTATTGACACTATTTTGTGATTTCCAGTCTTGTGATCAGGAAACTTACGCTGTTATGGCAATGGTAATAATTATACGGGAAGTGGCTTAAATGCCGTCCTTTTATTAACGTAATTGAATTTTGACTTGCTGAAGTACACACTTCGTTGCATGTCCCAGATACAAACGGCTGCACACATACATTGGGCTTTAACGTACCATTCCACTCAGCTAAGGACAACATGTTCCAGCAGTGCAAGGCATGTCCAGGGGATGCAAAAGTCTTCTCTGCTGACAGGTTGCCCTTTGTGCCAACACAATGTCCTACCCCCAGGGGTCATTTCGTAGAAAAAGAGCTAGGGGGACTCATTAGCATAACTCATTAGCATCTGCCACACCCCCTGACATCACCAAAAGTGTGTCCTCCCCACAGCCGGCGGCGACCTCCAGCGGGCACCAGCAGGGAGCTCCAGGCCCCGCCCTCCCGCACCTCACTGGGGGGATGGCGTCCCCCCGCGTCCCCCCTCAAATGACCCCTGCCTACCCCTAACTAAGTCGTCAACCCACTGTCTGTTTACATGTGAAGGTATCCAATTTTCTCTTAATGTTTAGGATGGGGAGGTATTTTATATATTGAGAGCTGATTGTAAAACCTTGTTTGAAATCAAGGGAGAATTACATGGTGCATGTCAATATGATGTAAGACCAATTTTTGCCAAGGATCAGGGAGACTAATACCATAGATATAATAGTAAAATCGTACCCTGTTCTCCCTGTACTTTTTGACCTGCTGGACTTCCCATCTATCTCATACAGCTTGCTGAAGCCTACAGTGACAGCTACACCAGAAGTAGGCTTGCCAAGTCCCCCCGGGGGGCGGGGAAACACCCGCCCCAGAGGCCCGTTCCCCGCCGCTGGTGGATCGGGCCCCGGGGGGAACCCCACCCCGACGTGCACGTCACCCAGAAGTGACGTGACGCCGCCGGGCATGCTGGGAGCGGGGCCACGATCATCCGAGGGAAAACTCTATGGTTTTCCCCCGGATGGTCGTGGTCCTGCCCCTGCGCGCGCACTCCAGCCGCCAGCCGGGAGTTTCCCGCTGCGGCTTTAAAAACACTCGGCAACCCTAACCAGAAGATCCATATAGGGATAGACTTTTGGGCTTGGATCCAATAGAGGATTTCTATATATCAGGGCGGGGGGGGGGGATTTTAGCCAGTTCCTCTTCCTGCTGTGTATCTCCAAGTGCTCCAGATGGGCTGCAGCAGCAGGAAGGGGAAGGTGTGGAAATTTCACTCCAGGGACAGTCCTTTTGTGCACAGAAATCGCTGGTGGATCCAAGCCGGTGAGGGGGGAAAGGCTAAAATAGAGGAGGGAGAAATGGTTTGAATCTCAGCTGACTGCCAAAGTTTTCTGTTCTGCAGCTTGAATCTACAGTCATGCCATATCTACACATTTTGTCTGAATTCAGAGAAGGTATACGACAAATTGCCAAAGATAAGAAAGGTGAGTTTAAGCATCTTACGACGAGAGGTTGACCAAAATGGGCAGGCCTCTTACGAACCAAATGCCTTATTTGTACCCTTCTTTGCCTTTCTCTCACCCACCTCATAGGCTTATTCAAAACATACACACACACCCCCACGCACACTTCCTATCTCTTGCAGTCAGCAACCTAGGGAGATATGGAAGACAGCACAGAGTATTGTAATTGGGTGGTGCTCTAATCCTGAACCATCTTGTTTGTGAGCAGGATTCTGGGTTTCACAGAGGCCCAGATACTTCAGTGGGATACGATTTAGGATTGCTTATGCTTTAGGATTACTTTGCTTATGTATATTGGCAGTCACTGTCTCTACAAAATTATCTGTTGCTGGAACAAGTGTGTTTAATCCAAATTTGTGTAGACTTGGTTAGAATGTAGGCTTTCTTCAGTTAGAATTTTCTGGGTCAAAAGAACACTTAATGCTATTCCGTACGGATATTAGTTAAAACCAATTTTTTGTGTGTTGACCAATGCTCCCTCTAAGCTGTGGAGACTTGTGAGCAAAAATTCTACTTTGTGAGCTACAGGTATTAAAGTTGTGAGCAAGTGATTTGGCTGCTGTATAAATTAGTTTGCTCTGGAGCCATCCTTCCTGAGCTAAGACGAAAATGTGTGAGCCGGAGGCTAAAAAACTGTGAGCTAACTCACACTAACTCAGCGTAGAGGGAACACTGGTGTTGACAGAAAAAAAACCCTATAATATTCTATTGTTTATAAAAATGTGATTTTCTTCTTATTTGTATAGTAGGAATTGTACTGTGGTGTCACATGCTGATGCGTTTCATTACCATTGGTTGTACTTATTAATATAGAAAGAGCTGGTGTGTATGTTGACACATATGATTCTGCCCTGTGTCACAGCTGTGTGTATTTTTGACTGAAGGGCAAGTGTAACCAAAGACAAAGGGCCCTAACATGTTTTTACCTCCTGTGAAACTCTGAGCGAGAGAGTGATTTCTTTCTCTTGTTGCCTGTAAGCATTGTTCAGCCTCATCATTTCTATTCAGGGAACCCCCCCCCGGGGGGGGATTTAGAGTGAGTCATAACAAAGTGTTCATTCAGATATTGTTGACCAAGCTGTATTGCTTTCTACCAGAAGGGCCTTAATTGTGGAATATTAAAATGCTATCCCAGCAAAAGTTCTTTTCTGTATTGTATGAGATGAGCAGATACCGGAAACCCTGAGAATAGCGTTGGTCATTTTAAACAGGGAATTGGTTTACTTTTTTGAATGTTCTCGTGATAACATGCGGTGAAAGAAAAGTAGAAGAAATGTTTGATAGATGTACGTTGGGAAAAAATGATTGCAGATGAAACCTTGCCAGGAAATGTTAGTAGGTTTTTAGCTCCATCCTTGGAGATAAAAAAGTTCACATCATGAACCCTTGGGAGTACTTGGTTGTAATTGCTGAGGGAGCGACGCCGATTTCCTCTTCAATGTAAAACCTCTGCTACAGATTCCAAAGAGAACTGGCTGGTCGGCACAGTGCTCTTCTTTCCTCTTCTTTGCACTCCACCCCTTTTGTGTGCAGTTTGTCCTTCCAGAGATGGAGACTCTGTTTTCCAGTCTTAAGGACTCCTCGTTTAGCTTTTTAAAATTTAAGTCTGAAAGTTATTTTAGCTCTTATCAAAGCCGTTTCTGAGAAGGGATCTAGTCTGTTGCTGTCTTCACTTTTAGCGTTATTCTGCACTGTCGGTATGTTGACATAGAACAAAGTTAGAGTCCAGTGGCACCTTTAAGAACCAACAAAGTTTGGTGTGGTGGTTAAGTGCGCAGACCCTAATCTGGGAGAACCGGGTTTGATTCCCCACTCCTCCACTTGTGTTAGCTGAATTGCTTTATTTACAGCAATTGGCAATTTATAAATGGGTCCTTGCCAACTATACCAAGGTCCTGTTCCCACCAAGCGTTACCAGTAAAAGATTTCGAGGCTGTTGTAGTTAAAATAGATGTCTTTTACTTAAGAAAATAAATTTCATACAAACAATACTGATGCACTCACACATTCAATCAAGTTCCTTAGAAATACAGTATTAAAATAAGCACTGTTGCATTAGCAGGTAGGGTGATGGTGGGCAATACTTATCTGTCTTGCAGGTTGGTTGTTCCAATGAAGAATAGAGGGGAAGAAATGGAAAACTAAGGGAATTCACACACGACCAGAACCAGCCAGAACGTGTGGGCAGTGGAGGCAAGGGTTGGGGATAGCAAGTGGGACTTAAGAGGGGTAAAAGCAGACAGGGGTTGTTGCGGGGGAGATGCTAGTTGATCAAGTAGGAGAGAGAGAGCTGTGCTGGCAGGGGTGTGGCCTAATATGCTAACGAGTTTCTGCTGCTGGGCGTGGCCTATTATGCTAATGAGTTCCTGCTGGGCTTTTTCTACAAAAAGAGCCCTGTCTGGAACTACACAGCTAAACAATCACGATTTGAAGTTCACTTTCAGAATCTTACTACTATGAATCCTGACCCTCTGCCTTAGCCTTAATTTGCCCTGGGCTGCTTGCCAGGAATTGGCTCTGTTCCAATGATCCCTCTGAAGCGGCTTCAGCTCTTTAAGAGTAGATACATGCTCCTGCAGGTCTCCAGTCCTGTAGCTGGTAGTATTGTTGAGATAACATATGTTTGGAGTTTGCTTCCCAGCCCTCCAATTGCATTAGCTCTTTCTCCCCCCCCCCCCAAATAGAAAAAAGTGACTTTCAATAGGTGGTTCTACAGAAATCTAAACTAACGACTTCATAAATACGTTGGCTGTCATCAGAGCTCCCCCCCCCCACGTATGCACATAGAATTGCATGCATGCAGTTAGGCTTTTAAGAATCTGTTTTAGTACAGTGCACACCAGGGCTCTTTTTGTAGAAAAAGCCCAGCAGGAACTCATTAGCATAATAGGCTACACCCAACAGCAGAAACTCATTAGCATATTAGGCCACACCCCTGACAGTGCATCTCATTGGCATATTAGGCCACACCCCCATGTCACCAGAACTGTGCTCATCCAGCCACACCCACCTTTTGCTTCTTATTCTGTTTACCTTGTTTGTTGTCCAAACCCAGGGGTTTTTTTGTAGCAGGAACTCCTTTGCATGTTAGGCCACACACCCCTAATGTAGCCAATCCTAATCAGTTTCTGCTGTTGGGTGTGGCCTATTATGCTAATGAATTCCTGATGGGCGTGGCCAACTTGGGAGCCAGCCGGAACTCTGTTCCTGTGCGCTCCTGCCCAAAAATAGCCCTGGTGCACACATTTGTGTGTGTGTGTGTGTGTGCGTTTTGCACAACTAACAGACTTGGACAGGAAACCTGAACAATTCATAGTTCAGAAATATCTGGTACTCCAGCTGGAAGAGTGAAGCTGCTGTTCTGACACAGATGCAAAAAAGACTGGCTTTTCACACGCCTCTGGCACGTGACCCTCCTCTGGACTGTTGCCACTATAACTGAAAGCTTCTGTCTGGTGTCTCTCTGAAAGCATTCAGTCGGCATTCAAGCAGTCCTGAACTAGTGCACGAGACCACAGTATTAACTCTACAGGAGGTATTAGATCATATTCTTCTCCCGTAGTAGGACTGAGCACAAATTTCTTCTTTTCCCCTGCTGCTCAGTGTGCAACTAGTAAATATTTATAATACAAACAGGCACCACTGCAGGGTAATGACAGAATTCTTTTCTTGCGAAGCATATCCAGATTTTTCTCACCTCTTCTTACAAATCCTTTTCCAGTGGTAGTGTGGATGTTAGTTGTTGCTGTATTTAAAGGCCAAATTCTGTTCTTTGATTTAACACATCGGGGTTTTTACCAGGGATGATTATGGGTCATGGTCAGACATGCTGTTGGAAGGAGTATAAACCCATATTAAATCAACTGCAGATAGGTTAGCCGCTCCACAAACGAAGAGAGAAGCAGGCTAAAAGCCAAGTCACGGAGTCATTTTTCATGGGCTGGTGCACTCCCAAACATACTTACCTGCAGGTTAAATCTCACTGAAATCGGGATGATTTATATCAGAGTAAATTTCCATTGGATCGGTACAACTGTATGTATGTGATCCCAGGCACAGTCCCTGACGTCTCCAGCTGAAAGGTCCAGCCTAGCAGTAATACCTTGACCTGAGACGTGAGAAGATTGCTGTTGGTCAGAGAAGGCAGCATTGGACAACGTTCCAGTATAAGGCAGTTCCCCATTTCCCTACTTTCCCGTTTCTCCTCTTAGCTAGTGACAGACTGCAAGTTTTTTGACTGTAAGCTATACACAGAATAAAACAGGGACTTGGATGTCTTTTCCTCCCTTTTTGATGGTTGTCAAAGGTCTCCATCAAATCCGGGAAAGGTGGTTTCGCTTCATATAAAACGCCCACTAAAACTGATGCCAGCCTTTTCTCCCCATTTGTAATGCAGTACCTGAAGTTCTGCAGCTCTGTGATTCTCTTCGGGATGATGTCCTTCCGGAGCACGGAGTTCGTTTTGAAGATCATGAAGGTAATTAAATCGCTAATTTAATACTTGACCCAGTGCAGATGGAAGACATAGTAGCCAGGTGATGGAGACTTGTCTAAGACAAGCCAATGGTCAAATTAGTCTTCCATGGCATGCAAGCTATGTATTCCCAACACAAAAAACTCCATCATAAAGGAAGTGAAGGAGGTCTGGAACCCAACCCTATATTATGCGCCGCTGCGAGGTCTGCAGTCGCCGCCTCCTGGAAATCTCCCTCACCCCCAATTCTTAAGAACGTAATGGAAAGGATACTGATACAAACCTCAAATAAAGACGCTTACTCTTCCTCTCTTGATTATTATAATTTTGGTACCCTGTTTTAAGTTTTATTGCTCAAAACAAAGACCTTTTTGATCAGAATTGTGTTATAGATATTTTACTATGTCAATTTATTGATACTTGATTATTTACTATGATCTCATATGCTTATGGCAGTTTATTGTCACCGTAAGTAAAGGTAAAGGTTCCCTTGCTCGAAAGCCAGTCGAATCCGACTCTAGGGTTGCGGTGCTCGTCTCCGTTTCAAAGCCGAAGCGCCAGCGCTGTCCAAAGTCGTTTCCGGGGTCATGTGGCTGGCATGACTAAACACCAAGGTGCACGGAACGCTGTGACCTTCCCACCAAAGTGGCACCTGTTTATCTACTTGCAATTTCTTGCTTTCGAGCTGCTAGGTTGGCAGGAGCTGGAACTAGAGACGGGAGCTCACTCCATCATGCAGCACACTCGGGTCTCGAACTGCTGAACTACCGACCTTCCACAGCCTGCAGTTCAGCGTCTTAACCACTTGAGCCAGCGCTCTGAATCTGATGCTAAATTTTCAATAAAAACCTTTTTAAAAAAGGACGGTGTATTACCATATGTGTAGCATATGAATAATAAGAATAGTGACACTTTTTTTTTTTAAACTATGACTCTTTAGGTCTCCCAACGGTGGTCAAGCTAGTGGACAGGGACACCTTGCTGAAAGAAAGAGAAGAAAAGAAAAAGGTTTACAGTATTAAGTTTTTTCCTCCCTCTCTCAGTCTGGTCTTGGCTTTATGCTTCATTTATCTAATATCTATGGACATGACCACCTCCACTCAATGGCCTAGGAATATAGCCGTGAGCTCAGTGCCCTGCAACTGTCTCCTCTCACAGATGCCGTCTTTACTGGAGGCCTTCGGCTTACCAGGCCTTGCCCGCTAGGTAGAAGCCTCCTGGCTAGGGTTGCCAAGTCCATCTTCCACTCCCAGCGGGGGACTTTGGGGGCGTTCCTGGAGGGGGCGGGGCATCCCCGACATGATGACGTCACGTTGGGGACGTCCACCACCACCACCCCGCCCGTGCGCCAGATCTCCAGAAACGGCAGTTCCCTGCACTTAAAGGAGCCGGCGTTTTCCCTTTAAGAGCAGCCGTGTTTCCCTTTTAAGAGCACGAAGCTGGCATTTCCCTGCAAGCTTGCGGAGATCAGGCTTGGGAGGAAACACGGGTTCCACACACTTAAAGGGAGAGAGATGGGTGGCTGTAGGTGTGGGGGTAGAACCCCCCCAAAAAACGGGGGACCCCTAGCAAACCGGGGGGGTTGGCAACCCTGCTCCTGGCGCCAGTGAATGTGACCCAAGCACAAGATCCAGGAGGCTTAATGTACACCGTCAGTATGCCTGGCCTTTCCTTTTGGGCTGTGCACTTTCTTCACATTTATAGTTCCTGACTAAGGAAAATGTAGACTCCTGTTTGTGTGTTTTGCCCTCTGTAGGGTTTATCTGTCTGCAAGATGCACAGGCCCGTAGCTACAGCGGGGTGTCTCGTGGCTAGGCCCCCTGACTTACTGGCAAGCCCCCCCCCTAACTTCCCATCCAGCTCAGGGCCCCTGAACGGCAGCAGGTGTGGGGAAGGAGTTGGGTATTCCTTTAATTCAATTAGCCAGTGCCCCCGAAGAAATTTAAATATCCCCCGACTTGAAAAATCATGGCTACGGGCCTGAAGAGGCATGGAAAAGGTATGCAAATTAATATTTTATGATGATTTTACCAGATTTTAATTGTTATCTATATACTATGTACAATGTTTTAACAAATGTAAGCCGCCCTGAGCCTGCGTAGCAGGGAGGGCGGGGTAGAAGTTGAATAATAAACAAAATTATGTTAATTACAGATGACTAAGTTGTGAGTTAGCGATGTCTCCAGGATACAGAGATCTCTTTGAGCCTGCGGGCACCTTTGGAATTCTGACACCGTGTGGTGGGCACAGCCACAAAATGGCTGCCACAGGAGACGGAGCCAGCCACAATATGGCTGCCGCAGCTTCCCTTCACTCACCTGGTGAAGATCCTTGTGCTGTGGTGGCAATTGCTGCCAAAGCAACATTTTTAAGGATCTGCCCGGCCAATCAGAACCAGTGTTCCCTCTAAGCTGAGTTAGTGTGAGCTAGCGCACAGATTTTTAGCCTCCGGCTCACACATTTTTGTCTTGGCTCAGGAAGGAGGGCTCCAGAGCAAACTCATTTATGCAGCAACCAAATCACTCGCTCACAACTTTAAATGCCAGTAGCTCACAAAGTAGAATTTTTGCTCACAAGACTCCACAGCTTAGAGGGAACATCAGAACCCTTGCTGAGCAAAAGACCCATTTAACCCTGCCTGCTTTCTAAAAACACTTGGTACACACCAGCAAAGGTGTTGGTGGTCACCGTGGCACCCGTGAGCACCCCTTTGGGGACCCTGGCCTAGAAAATGACCTACATGTATCCTCTGTCCATGTAGTAATGTCTTAATTTCGCAGTCCTTTCCTGTATAAATCATGAAGCTTCTGCTTCACTAACCCGAATGCTAAGACTTGTATCGCATCAGGGCTTGCATTGGCATGTAGGCACAATGCTGGTGTTTATAATCCCACCCAACTTCCAAAGATCAGGTATTCTGGGCAGAACTGTGTCAGACTAGCACTTTGAGAAGATTCCTGATGTATGGCCATGGATGACTCACTAATAGAACACATCACTTTTTTATCTTTTATGTATCTCTTTAATGGGAATGCTGCTCTTCAACTTGGATTATCCGTAGATTGAAGAAGAGAAAAAATTGAAAAAAGAAGCAGCTGCTAGAAAGAAACAAGAACAAGAGGTAAAGGCCGAAATAGTATTAAAACATACACTTTGAATGGCCAGAGTAAATTAACAGGGTTGTTGGGCAAAAGAAGAAATACTTGAAGCTTTCTCTTCAGCCCATGGTGTCATTTGACTCTGATGCAAATGCAATCCTCTAGTTGTAGTTACAGGCAGTGTTCCCTCTAAGCTGAGTTAGTGTGAGCCAGCTCACCATTTTTTAGCCTCCGGCTCACCCATTTTTGTCTTCGCTCGGGAAGGATGGCTGCAGAGCAAACTAATTGATGCAGTAGCCAAATCACTCGCTCACAACTTTAATGCCAGTAGCTCACAAAGTAGAATTTTTGCTCACAAGACTCCACAGCTTAAGAGGGAGCATTGGTTACAGGTGGCTTTTTTGTGTTGGGATCTTTCAAGATTCACTGCCACAGGAGGTGGCGGCAGCTACAAGCATGGACAGCTTCAAGAGGGAACTGGATAAACATATGGAGCAGAGGTCCATCAGTGGCTATTAGCCACAAGGTCTAGATAGGAACTCACAGGCTGGGGCAGGTGATGCTCTGCATTCTTGGTGCTTGGGGGGGGCAAGGGTGGGAGGGCTTCTAGTGTCCTGGCCCCACTGCTGGACCTCCTGATGGCACCTGGTATTTTTGGCCACTGTGACAGTGTTGGACTGGATGGGCCTGATCCAACATTGGCTTCTCTCTTATGTTCTTAAGAGAGAACAGGGTGTCTGGATGCCAAATACAAAAGAGTGGCTGCTCAGCTAAGTGAGATTGCTGTGACTTCATCAGGCAAAACTCTTTCTACTGTCACACCCTCAAACCTCGGCTGTGCAGCATAATCCCCCATCTCACCCAGGCCTTTCTGTGTGTTACCAACATACTTTCATCATTTCCTGGAAACTTCTCCTGTTGTTTCCAGCTGTACCATCAGTGTTGCCGGGGTGCTGTCTTCCACACAATAGGCAGAAGTGTACATGCTTTCAGCCTATTGCTGCACAGAATTTATGTCCTTTCCAAAGGCAAATGTTTGCTTATAGGAATCTAGAATAGCTGTTGCCGCTTGAAACGTCACAACACATTTAGCAGATTGTTTCATTGTAATGAGACTCGAGAGTGTGAGAAACTGTCCTGAACAAAATCCTGTTAAGGAACATCTTAGGGTGGCTTCTCATTCTGTTTAATATCTGCCTTCGGTTGCTGACCAGCTATGCACCCAGCGGGGAATTTGGTTCTCAAGATTTAATCTACTCCCACTTCACTTGTTAGTCTAAGGCACTCTCATTACGACAGCAGAAAAATGAACACTGTAAGCATATGGCTTTCTAGTAGCCCAGACTCCGTTCCTGTGCTCTGAATAATAAAACACAGGAAACTGGAGACACTCAACTTGGGAATCACCTCCAAATAGAACTACTGAATGAAGCTCCAGCAGATTCTTCAGCAGTATTGCATCTGATGAAGTGGGCTCTTATCGGCGACAGTACATGCTGAAACAACAGTGTTGTAAATCCTTCTGGTGCCACAGGATTCTGTTTATTTTTATGCAACAGACGAACACAGCCACGTTTCCGAAAATATTTACAGCACTTGAAGTGAGGGGTTTTTAAATAATATATTTATTAGGTTTTTATGCTTAATAGACACACACACACAGAGACAAACAGCAATTTTCTCGATACATCACATTGATCCAACATTTTGGTGGTATCTAAGTAAGTTACATACTCTCTCTGTTCTTATGTTAACCAGCTATAATATCATCATTGCATGGCACAAGCTCCTGAGCCCGCACGCGGGGAGGGCGGGGTATAAGTGGAAATAAATAAATAAATTATCATTTGTTCTAATCAAAATTCAACTACCATATCTGCTTTTCTACCCTTGCTCCTTTTTCTTATCCCTAAAGTAATTTTTTAAATAAACATCCTCTAATCAGTTACTAATAATCCTTCATTCTGATTTTATATATATAAAAAACTATATATTCCTAAACCTTCACCTATCAAATCAGACACAATTACTTAATTGATTCTCATTTACGATATCACTGTTACTACCTGTCATCACCAAAAATAATCTATATAACAAATGAACCCGACAAACTAATCTTAAACAATTTAATCATAATCAACAACTAATGCTATCATTACCAGCACTAAATTACCTTTTAAATTAATTTATGGTAAAATAGCAAAGAATATAACCACAAATACAGGCATCTGACGAAGTGGGCTCTTATCGGTGACAGTACATGCTGAAACAACACTGTTGTAAATCCTTCTGGTGCCACAGGATTCTGTTTATTTTTATGCAGCAGACTAATAACAGCCACCTTTCCGAAAATATTTACAGCACTTGAAGTGAGTTTTCATGCTGTCATGGACAGTGTTCTTACAGCTTTGTCTTTCCGGGACATTCTGTTAAGTGTTAGAGATTATAATACGGTGGGACTATGAAACAGTTCTAGATACCCCCTTTGCAACTTTTATCACTGAATCATGAACCGTGCTTGAGATCCAGAAGCTGAGGAAGTAACAATAGTAGAGTTATTTTCCATCATCAAAAACATTTTGAGATATATCACTGTGCATTATTTCATTTGAGTAAACTGTGGGTCTTCTTTAAAAACAAAACAAAAAACTTGAACCCGAAGTTATCATTGACGCAAAATTTGCAGACCAGCGAAGAGATAACCATTGCTCGGCACTTCACAATCTTTTCCCCCAGGGTATGTGGTGTTCCAAACAAAGACGCTGAGAGATTCTAGAAGGGCAGAAAGCTTCATGTACTCCCAAGAAGTGTGAACAAGCAAGCAGCTAGGAAGGATCTTGTTTCCAAGGAAGATTTCAATAAAACTAAATCTCCTTGACTTTAAATTAGTTTAGATACTGGGGTTATGGAGACAAAATGATCGTCGTATCTACAGCCTCATTTTTGTGGCACCATTTTGGAGATCATAGGAGATACAAAGATGTATATTTCCTGAGCCTTCTACAGTAGGCCTACTAGTTTATTTTCAGGAAAATATTTGGTGTAGTCCTTTTAATCAGGGTAAGGATTTATCTACTCAGCTAGAAAATGTTGCAGAAATCATAGTGGTTTATTGTAGTATTCACTTCTTCCAAAGGATAATACTTATTTTCTGTTGCAGGCAGCAAAACTGGCAAAGATGAAAATCTCACCAGGAGAAATGTTTAAGTCTGAACATGACAAGTATTCCAAATTTGATGAAAATGTAAGTAATACTTTATTTCTCTTTGTTGCGATCACAATTTCTAGGCCCTTTTCTTAATATGTAATATTGGTCATGCTGCCTACACTTTGGCTATGAGGATTTCCTTTCCATAGTACCCTGTGTAGGCCAAGGAACCTGTCTTCCTTATTTGCCCACACTGGAGGGCGGGGGTGAACATCAAGAGGGTCCTCTGCTTGCACATCAACTGAGATGAGGTCCAGCCTTCAATCTCTATGGGCATTTACTAATTTGATATAGACTATATACTAGGTCCCCGCCCTTTTCATTACTATCTTGGTTTATAGTTCACTAGCAGTAAAGCCCGTTGTGAAAGCAATACAACGAGATCTAGAAAGAGGCTCTGAGGGAGTGCTCTGGCTTTGGGCAAACAGTGTCAATTTGCTGTGGTGACCTCAGCAGGGTATAATGCCAGAGTCCACTGTTTTCTCCAGAGGAACTGATCTCTGCTACCTGAAGAGCAGTTGTAATTGTGAGTGATCTGTAGCCCTCACCTGGAGATTGGCAGCAATTGTTACCCAGGACAAAGTGGCTGGTTTGGAGGGTGTAGTCTATGGCATTCTACCTGTCTGAGGTCCCATCCCTCTGCAAACCCCACCCTCTCCAGGCTCCACCCCTCAAATCCCCAGGAATTTGTCAGCATGTAGTTGGCAACCCCATCTCCTTCCCAGCTAACCATCAACCTACCATTATCTGCCCCTTTGACTTCAGCTGACTTCTGCCCTCCCTTCTGCAGAGCAGTTGTAATTCTGAGTGCTCTCCAGCCCTCACCTGGAGATTGGCAACAATGGTTCCCTATGTGGGACTGACTGGTTTGGAGGGTGGAGTCTATGGCAGTGTACCTGTCTGAGGTCCCACCCCTCCTCAAACCTCACCCTCTTCAGGCTCCATCCCTCAAATCTCCAGGAATTTCCCATCTGGAGTTGGCAACCCTATCAGGACTGGCCCCAATGTGTTTTCTCCCAAAGGCCAAAGTAGGTGACAGGACCAAGCTTAGTTGCCTACCAACAGGCATTGAGGGGAATGTAGGGTTGCCAGCTCTAAGGAGGGAAATACCTGGAGGTTTGGGGGGTGGATTCTGTAGAGGGCAGCATTGGGCAGGAGGAGATCTCCAGGTCCCACATGGAGTTTGGCAACCCTAGGGGAAAGTGTGCTGCACAGCAGGGGGTTGAAGAGAATGGTTTGATGGGTGCTGGGCCAAGATTGGCAACAATAGTTCCCCAGGAGCAAATAGCTGGGTTGGAGGGTGGAGTCTATGGCACTGTAACCTGTCTGAGGTCCCCATCTCCCCAGGCAGCTTTTAAAACATGATCCTGGGACCTACACACCACCAGACATTCCAACCTTGCGGCGGGGGGGGGGGATGAGGTGTGGAATGGAGTGAAGTCCAATCAGCTTCCATATGCAAAAGACCTTGAAGATTCCATATGCAACTGACATTCCAACTGCCTTGTGGGGAGGGGGGTGAGTTTGAGGTGTGGAATGCAGTGAAGTCCAATCAGCTTCCATATGCAAACGACCTTGAAACACTGGGCAGGACTGCACAAAGCAGCCAGTCAACCCAGCCAGCGTCTTCTGACTGACAGTTCAAGCGTCCATACACTAAAGGAGTGCATTTTAGAACTTTGGCACCCACTACTCAATTATATATAAGGAGAGATTAGGCTGGAGTAAATAAGAACTCAAGTTTTCTACTTATTAATGATGTGTAATACAAGTGAAGAGAGAATCTGATCCCATCTCAACAGCACCAGCAAATGAAAGCACTGGTAAGACTTTGTCTTATGTTAATTAATGATTTCAATATTGTAGGGGTTTCCAACCCATGACATGGAAGGCAAAGAACTCAGCAAGGGTCAGATGAAGAAGCTAAAGAAACTCTATGAAGCACAAGAAAAACTGTACAAAGAATATCTTCAGATGGTTCAGAATGGAACTGCAAACTGAGAGCAATACTAGGACCGTTCTTATTAAATACAACAGCTGGATCACTTTTGGTTTGGTTGGGGTAACGGACTTCTACTATGCTTCCACTTTTGACAGTGTACTAGGTTAAGAATAAAGGTGTTATATATTTGTGAGTTTAAAACATCAATAAAATTTTGTTACTTAAAGGTCTATGAAACATATATGTGTGTGACACCAGTTATTAAAGAATAAAAAGTACGCTAGCGTAGACGTGGTACAGTCAGCTACTTGAGTTGCAGTCTTCTTTAATGTATAACTTCAACCTAGTTTTACTCAAAACATAGGTGTAATGAGACATCTCAGTAAATGTACTCAGGATCACTGTCTTTAGTCCTTCACAAGCATAGAAGAGCTGCTAGACTGGAGTCCAATAGCAACAAGATTTTGGGGATGTGACCTTTCAAGCTCTTTTTGTCTAGAGGAATTCATTATGAGTAGCATAGATTTCTTTTGCATGTTTAAATATACTAAGGACATGTAGCAGGAAAGAAACCAGGAGACCTTAAGAAAGAGTAGACATAAGTTTGGTATACTGAGATTTACATGTATTTCTCCAGAAGATGCACTCTGTTTAAATTGCCTAGGAATGAGGACTTGTGGTCAACAAAAACTGAAGCTTGCTTAGGTGGAAATCTTAACTGTGTGAAATCTCATGAAACAGATCAAGAAATGTCCGGTTCTTCCCGAAACCCTCATCTTGCACAGTGGCTACTTGTTCTCCATAAAACATTACTTTGTTTTCCAAGAAATAGTATGTGCCTCTTTGTCTTTCCTGTGCCCATCTGCCCTACCAATTAGTAGGCTTGTACTGGTAATAGATGAATGATCAGTGAGTGATAGCCCCAGCTCAGATAGGTGATATTATCCCCAGGGGTCATTTTGTAGAAAAAGAGCTAGGGGAACTCATTAGCATAACTCATTAGCATATGCCACACCCCCTGACATCACCGGAAATGTGTCATAAGGCCACACACCCCGCCCCCAACGGTCCCGGCCGCCACCGCCGGCCTTGCAGCTCCACTGCCGAGCCCCATGAGGGGCCTGGCGGTGGACCTGCAAGGCCAGCGGGAGTGCAAGGAAGCCCCACGAAGGCCCTCCCTGGCCCCAGGCAGGCAGGGGTGGGGAGAGGCAGGGAGGAAGCAACTTACCCTCCCTCTTCTCCTGCCTCCTCCTGGCTGAATGAGGGCCGGAAGCCGGGTGGCCGGAAGCAGGGGGCGGGGCTTTGTCATGTGCCCCCCCCCCCCCCG